GTCAAGGCTGTACTAATATTGTTGCCGTCACGTTACCTTAACTGAGTATTGTTAAGTCAGCGCTGTTCGCGTATTTTACAGAAGTTCAAGGCTTCGGTGATCAAGGTATAAATATAGGCAACCAAGTGAGCGCAATTTAAGAACTAAAGAAGTACAAAGTGAAGTAGAAAGAAAAAGTAAGTTAAGTGCAGTTCATTCAGAAAATTAGTTAGCAAAAGAAAACGTGAAGTTACCCAGCATGTGAGTGATTAGCCATAACGGCGATATTTTAAAGTGAATTTCACAGTTTAGTAGAATAAGGAGAATAATTAGTTTTATCAAAGGGTGTTCTAAAGTAATTGAACCCGTCTGTGTGGACTTTGATGAAAAGGAGACAATTATTTGAAGTTTAGGATACAACTGTGGTAACCTACGGGGTAGCGTAGGTGAATTATTCACTGATACTATTGTGATCAGAATAGAGAAAAATAGTTCATCTTGTCAATTGGATTCTAAAGTAATTGAATCAACCTAAGTGGACTTTTGACAAGAAAAGATAATTATTTAGAGTTTGAGATTCAACTGTGATATCCATAGTGTAAATAATTTTTTACATAGTTTGACTTGTTTTGAACATATTATGTTAAAACAAGTGGATTATGTGCTGTTCGTTTATTGTTCGAATTTATCGCCAACAAGTCACAGACACCTAGTGTAGAAGAATTCTTAACCCACTTACATATCTAAAACCCTGACAGTGTGGGTGAGCTTTAAGAGTAGCAGTCAATCATTTAGCGTGGATAGTGTGTGGTAGATTGCTGCTGATTATCTGCCTTCCCTCTGGTCAGTTGTTCAAAATTAGGAACGATGGCAGATAGCCTTATTAGCTTTGCCTAAATACAAATTACCTCACTATTACATTGATTGCATTAGCTCTGTCAAAATCTGAATAGAGCCAGAGTGGCCTATTTTTATCAGCGTGTCGGGCTGCTCAGTGGTGTAGGAAGGAGTTGCATAGCGGGGGTGCTTGGCTAAGCATACAGATTCTACAATGACAAATGAAAGCATAGGGATCTGCTAAAAGCAGCTCCTGTGTGCCAAAGACAACTCAGTCTAGGGGGGCCTGGGAACATGCCCCCAGTAAAGGAAATTAATATTGTAATATAATTTACAATTTCTATGTAAGTCAAGTATGTAAAAGTGAAGTTCCGACGCCTCTGAGGCTGCCAACTATGTGCCTTCCCTTAGGTCGTAATTTCAAAATCAGGAACGACAGCAAATAGTATTAGTAGCTGTGCCATAAGTACAAGATACAAGGGAGTAAATAAATCGATTCACAAGTATTTCTTACAGTATATTTAGATATTTTATTTCAACATTGAGAAAGTGAGATGCAAAATCGTTTACGAGAACAATTAATACTTATTCAGGGCTGTGTATTAATATCTTCTAAAACAGGTGTCTTTGAATGGCCACAAATTAAGTAGTTATTATAATGAAAAATATTGTTCTTTAAAATACCGAAAATATTCTTTGATACCCTGGAGCCATGAACATTTATATGATATCGTTTTAGCTTGTTACTGATTTTAAAACAAAGTTTACAAATGATCACTAATGTCTCTGTACTAAATTTAAGAAAAGTAACCTGCTTTGCGTCGATACGCTAATGAAATGCACATCAAGCCCGTCCAAAGGGAAACTCATTTCATGTTTAACTTTAGTTCCCAGAGACAAAAAAAAGAATTCCGAAATATGTAATAACTCCTCTATTATCACTGCAAATACATATTTCTAGTAAATTTCCTCTGATAAGTATGAAAATGCTATTTCCGTATGTATTGCACTATCATCAAATAAAGGCAAAAATATATGTTAATAGGCGATAACACCAAAATATTGTTTTTATTTAATTAGGTATTCAACGTTTCGCTTTACACCTTCTTCAGGAGCGTTCACTAAAACACAAACTGAAATAAATTAAATAATGAGATTAAAAAGTTTTTTTTTTTAAGAGCGTGGGGGATATAACAGAAAATAGCTTAATTCAGAAAGATTTAAGTTTAAAATTGAATCGATATTTTTACTTTCATGATACTTGCGCCTCCATCACCAAAATCGTAATGGGCAGATAGTAATCCGACTATTCTATCTGGATAAATGCATTTTGGCTTTTATGACTCCTCCTATTTCGAGAAATCAAGCGTGACGTAACGTGACATACCCTTGCTTTTATATAGGTTAGATTTCAAAATAATTCGAGTCTGCGTAATAAAGTAGACTTCACCCTAGAATATATAAACATAATTGTTGTAAAATTGTATTTTTGTAGATTGTGAAGTTGAAAGTACATGCAAACAGACAAAATTATATTTTTTAAAGCACACACAAAATACTTTATTATAGTAATTAAATACGAACACTAATAATTTAAAATTCCCTGGTGATTTTTTATTTAACTGTGGCTTATTTTATGAAATTAATAGGGCTTCTTTGCAGTGGGTAAGAATGTTTGCTGTTATGGGACAATCAACTAAAGATATACCGTCTTTGTCAAAAATATTTTCACCCGTAACGCTCACTAGTTTTGCTATCTAATGTGTGGAAAGCTCAAAAGTTTTCGTTAATTCTATCCCTAATACGTCTACCTGTTTCACCAATGTATACAGAAACACAAGGTTTGCATCTCAAACTATATATACACTGGTTTACAACCTGCACATTTGTCTGGGGGTTTGTTACATGTTTTGTGTTTAAAGGCTGATCTTACCTCACAGCCAGCCATTGAGTAGGTGTAGCATATCTTGACGTTACTTGCAGCAGGTGGCTTTAAAACTGTCAGTATTAATGTCATGGTATCTGGCGGTGGGTCAACAGAAAGTAGGCCTAGTTGTTTTGTCGACCCTTTACAGGTGATATCGTCACTGTGCAGTGTTTGAGATGGTGTAATCGCTATCATTGAAGGTTGGTCTCTTTTGGTTAATCTTAGCTTCAGGAGCTACTTCTCAAGCTCTTGTAAAGTTAATAGTGAGGTAACCCGCCTCTAAAAGCTCTTGGTTTATTACTTGTAAGATGGGTAGAGTTGTGAGCTCAAACCTCGCATACATGAATAAGATCTCAGACTCGCTTGTTGCCACAGAATTTACGTTTTCAATTCCCCACAAAGAGAGAGAGAGAGAAACACGTCTGTTCTTATGGAGAATTTGTGAA